AACCCACCCGCCCATCCAAGTAAGCACCCTATGCTTCGGGGGCGGTGGTGCTGCTACTTTGCGGGTGGTTTTGGTCTAGGGCTTAGGGTTTAGGGTTTAGGGCTGCGCGGTCAGGATCTAGGCAGGTTTATAAGGTCCCCTGAAACTTGATCCAGTGTTGGAGGGCGATCTGTGGCCATTGCCAAAACTCATGATGAAGAGTACTTCCAAAGGTACTGCTGCGACGTTGCATGCCCGAAGGATGGAACTATCATTGACTCCACTTACAGAATTGGGTAGTAATAGCAGGTGGACATCAGGGTGCTCCTGTATACCCTCAAAGTTGGGTGGAGTGGGGGGGTTATCATTAGGGGCCAGTTGTTGAGGATCCTTGCTTCGAGGGCCCCAAACTCGGCTGCACAATTTGGAGGCAGCACCATCCAGGATGCCATGAACTATCCTACAGGGGTTATATAGAGATTATAGGCTACATATTATATGGGGGATACATTGGAATAATGGTTATTATTATCAAAGGAAAAGAAAATGGAAAGTAGTATAATGGGGTTCTATATAGGTTTAGTTTACGGTTTCGGGTTTGGGGCTTAGCGTTTCGGGCGTAGGGCGCCCTAAACTCTGAGCCATAGCCCTGTAGACCGTAAACCCTACACTCTTGAGCCATAGGCCCTAAACCCTAAACCTTAGCAATGGAAGTCCTAAAGATGTCCAGGTAAGAAATCACTGAACTGCTTGGCTGAGGCCCAAGCCATACTGAGGATATCATAAGCTGTTCGAAAATGCCGATATTTGTTGGTGCGGAAAAAACTGGAAATGATGGAAATTCGAGATGCTTTAAAATCATCGTTGCGCGATCGTTCAAGAATGATCCCCTGGTGTCCCCTGTTTCATCTCTATGTATCCCTCGAGTCCCTGCGCATACGTTCTCTGACAAGCCTCGACGCCACAAACGAGAGACCCCAACCCCAAGCACCAAAGCCCAATGTGTGAAATCCTAAACAGCCGCGCAAATGGCTAGTGCTGCGCACGGAATATTTGTGCGTGGGAAGCTGCTCTCGTCTGCCTTCTCCTCCATCTAGTGCTACAAAATCCTCCTGGTAGAGTCTCCCAAGAAAGGGACCCGCCGTCTACTGTGTCCTCCTCCTCTTGCCATCGATGGTTTCAGAGCTCTCCTCCTTCAACAAACTGCCGATTGAGATTTCGCTTGGATCAAGTTGTCCTGCCAGCACCGTGATTCGGAAGCATCGGATCCACTCCAAGCCACGACAGTAAACCATGTGCCCTGCTTTTAGCGGTCCGTGACGCTCTGTGTCAAGAAGCAGATGTGCGCCTGAGTTGTGAAGACCGTGTACTTGAACTCGGCAGGACGGCACGAACTCCGCTTGGAGCCTGAAGCCGATGGGAAGCATAGAATGCCGGAGCAACGTCCAGCTTACCCAGTCGCCTTCTTGCAGCAGCAGCTCGGACATAGGCCTCAAGCTGGCCAGATCTTGAAGCCTGTTGCGACGCAAGACCGAGGGGTGGCTTACAGCAACGCTCACGCAATACCCAGCGAACCCTGCACCAGGGCCATATTGCTCCTCGACCTGTTTGTGCAGGGCTGCGAGCGTGTCTTTAGATTTTCGTGCGAAACAGTTCTCTAGAGCGAAATGCCGCTCCACTTCTGCTTTTGCGTCATCATTCGTCACTCTGTCAAGCATGTTCAGAAATTTGGGCTGAAGAGTTGACATGAAATGTTTCGGAATATGGCCCGGTGTCACATGCTTGTTCAACAGAAGCAGCACGGCCTCCGCGTCCGAATCAGTCCAGCCAAGCAATAGCTCTAGTATCATTCCGTCGCCCATGCACATGAGGGGCGACCCAAAGATCTCGTCGAGCAGATGCAGACTCAGCGAAGGACGCTTCTGCAGGGCCTTTTGAGGCATGACCAATATTTGTTCCATGCAGATTTCTCGCAGCTCATGTAGGTGGAGTTGGTGTGCCTGTCCGAAAAGCTCGCAGGCATTTTCCGCGGTGAGGCCATGCCGCACGGCCTTCACGCACAGCTCCTGCAGCTGGTCGACCCCATACTTGTCCGCAATAGCTCCCACCTCCATGATAGTAACCAGCGGGGCCTCTATCACACCAGAATACAAGAAGCGAAGGAAGCACTCAACCCCAGCGGCAGAAAAGTCGCGGATCACCACCGACCCAGTCTTCCCCTCGTGGAAACTGCCTTGCATCATGCTCTCAAACACCTGCGACCAGGCAGCTAGAATGAAGGAAAAAACGCTGAACTCTTTGACAGCCATCTCCTCGCCACAGCTGTCCTGCAGCGAGTAGCAGCTTATGAAATCCACCCCCCCAAACGAATTTGGAGCCCGATGTCGCCCTAGTATTTTTTGTTGTCCTTTTGAGACTTCCACGTTGGTTGGGGAAGGGTACTCTGTACTGCTTTTCTTCTCCTCTCCACGCCTAGTAATCCAGGAAAAGCAGCGCCCATATTTGTACTGGGCACTTTGATACGGCCAAAAGCCTAAACCCTAAACCACAAACCCCAAACCCCAAACCCACACCTAGAAACAGCAAAATGTAGAAAGACTTCTTGCAGATGTCAGATCAGATCTGCATTGGGCAGGTCCTAAAGGCAACTGTGGGTTTAGGGGTTAGGGTTTAGGGTTAAAGGCAACCTCAAGACACGGAAGAACAATCCCCTATAGAATAGGGACCACCCATAATCTAATCCCCTTGCAACCCCGATATGTCCCAGGATACCGGTTCCCCTGATGTCTAAACAAAATCTGATATGGGGACTGTGCACTCCAGATCTTGAGAGATTCTTGTTTCAGGGTTCTATACCCTACACCCTAAATCCTACGTAGGAAGACATGCACACAGAGATGAGGCAGTCTCTGCAAGAACCAGAATCTCAGATGGCATCTTAACCCTATACCCTAACTTGACAGGGTTGCTGTTCAGGAGCTTGAATTAAGTATCATTTACTATGTAAAAGTATTCTGGTAACTCATTTTGAGTACGTGAAAGGCAGTCCGGATGAAGGAAGTCATGGAGGCTCTCTGATGAATCATCGGGATTCTGGATTGGTTCTTGGGTTACGGATTTAGGGTGAGTGCATAGGACTGCGTAGTTCAGGACTAAGCGGCTTTCCCGTGGGATCTGACAGTGCTAGGCTCGGCACCAAAACCTCAAGCCAGGTCTACTTCATACAAGAGAGCATGAAGAGGATCGTGCTAGCTATCCTGCATGAAAAACAGCTCAAAACTACTACTCATGATATGCTTCGCGGAGACCAAGCAAATGCGCAGCTTCTGAACTTGCCAAAAATAACGGCTACCTCAGTGCGACCAGGTGTTGGTGAGTGCTACGTTTATTCGTATTGCCACTAAAAACCGCTACTGTCAGTCTGTGTACTGTTCTTGTTCCTCTCTTTGTTCTCATGTTGACCGACGAGGAATGCAGAAACTCTCAAGACGTGCTAACACTACTCCAAAACTTAGTTCCACGGCCGGGCCAGCAACGGGAGGAGCCTGGCAACCTCAAAAATTGGGACCCTCTGACTAGCATATGACTATAATAAGGTCCTAATTTCAAGGGTTGAGGGAACCAAGATCCTCTAACTAGTCAGAGGTTCACTCTTGAGGCTCCATATAGTACAAACTCTTTGAATATGTTTGTAGAGACATCTTGGGAGACGCTACCGTCAGGACACGTCTACGTGCCAGACATTCAGACTACACTGCTGGGAGCCCTCAGGCAATTACATTATGAGCCAACTATACCTGCAGCCAGAATCGGCCTTGAGTCCCATGAGTATGGTTCTAATTGGTTTAGGGTTTAGGGTTTAGTTGGGGCATGACTGCAGTTATAATGAGGTGAATCATTACCCTGCACCTCTAGGCATTAGTTGGCCCTTTCCATTCCTTACTGATAAGAGGGTTTTGGTAACCCGAACCACCCATTCAGAGCTTTTCAAGTTTGGGTTACCAAAGTCCTCTTATCACCTACGATACACCCCTGTTGCAATCCCAGCTTCCATTGAATTGTCCATAATATTCTTTTCACCCTAAACCCTAAACCCTAAACCCTATAGTCCTCAAGGGCCTTGGCCGAAGCCTTAAACCGGAAAACCTTCAACCCTTACACCCTAAACCCTGAACCCTTGCACCCTTACTCCCTCAACCCTTAAACCTGAAACCCTAAACCCTTAAACGCTTACACCAAAACCCTCAAACCTTAAACTCTAAACCCTTAAACCTTTACACCCTAAACCCTTAGATCCTTACACCCTGCACCCTGAACCCTTCAACCCTAAACCTACTCCCCAAGCTCCCTGGCTTCGACACGTATTGTGAAGAATATAGGGGTCATAATATAGGGGTATANNATAGGGGAAATATAGGGGTTATATACAGATAACGGAAAACAAAATGGAAAGTACAAGGTCCTTGGCTTCGACCCGTATTGTGAAGTCGCCCTTCCGGTCGAAGCACCGTCGCAAGGTGTCCGCCACCAAAGCCTTTGCTTCCACCATCTCGGCGCTTCCGCCTCTCGGGGTTTAGGTTTTAGGGTT